AGAAAGACACACTTGTGAGAGGTCTGGAAGCTCAATCTCTTAGTGTTTTTACAACAATACAAACGAAAAATGTCTACAATGTTGAATACTGTTGTTCACAACAAGCTCACATTACTTTTAAAAATAGAATCTAATGCTGAAAAGTGAGCACTCTGTTGAAAAGGATTATGCTATCTGAATAGCAGACATGGCATGAAAAAATTGTAAGGAAACAATTTCAGTAAAACAGGCAGCTACTATGATTTTTTTGGAAGCTTTCTTACTACCTCTCCCAGGTACCTTACTGGGATGACTAAGCCAGCAGGAAAGGTTTCATAGGCTTCCCGTGGAGTCAATTTACAGCTTCTGCAAACACAAGCAGAAGCTCCTGGAAGAACCTGACTCTAACTCGCCATAAAAAGCATCATTTTAGCCTTGTAAAACAGAATTTATTACAGATCATAACAGAAGAGAGTCAGCCTTCACATCTTGTGGGCAAGCATAATTCTCAAGTAACAAATATGGATGGAAAGGCCTGAATTGAACCAAGCAATTTTTTTGTTTTCTCACGTTAGTATAATTATAATTGATGAAATAATGAAACAGATTTTATTGTAACAGTACAGAAAATTCAAACACATGCTTTAAAAACTCACAGCTTGCATGTTGGGGAAAGGTGATGCTTCAAAGACCTGTGTCACCCAAGGTAGTCTACCCAGGTTTCTTTGTACGTTTGCCTCCATCCTTCTGATAACCTTTTTCTTAAATCAATTTACATCTCTGATACTGGCTGCTGTGGTCATGCTGACGTTAGACATGTCCTTAAGCATCCTTTCCAAACCACACAGCATTTAATCTAGAATTCAAGATTAAAATAGTAGCAATAATAGTGAGCATTAGGAAATAGACCTGAATATTATACTCTTTAGTCTTGTAGGAATGACTTTGAGATAAAATCAATTGTTTGAAACTGGAAAGCTTCTAAGCAGGCCACCATGAAGAACCACAAGTAGTAAATATTAAAAGCAAAAGTCTCATAAAAGAGACATGAGGAATTTGTACACCAAAACACTTGTTTACTTCATTCCTTTTTCAGTGACATTTAAACAAAATGTTTTAATGACACTGAAACACAGTCTGAGATTACCTGTGAAGAGAAACTGATACATCATCACATGTACTCCAATTACTTTGATACCCCAATTAGCCCTTCCTGAAGCAGTATTCTAGGATATATCTTTTCTTGGAAGGAATACAGGTGACATAGAATTCAAATCACCAGGCACAACATATCAATTATGTGTCCCCAAACCAATAATTATGTATCGATTTCTTATTTCATCACTCTGTGTGCAGTAAATTTTCCAGTACTTTATCCTCTCTAATCTTACAGAATGTACTAATACTTAAAAGAAAATATGTTTAACCAGAAGTTTCACATTAGATGAAACCCGCAAAAGTTTCAGAAGTAATACTTAATTTGATAAGTAACCAGAGCTTCAAATGATGATCCAAAGTTTGTCTGAACTATTTTGAACTTGATTTCTAAGTCCAAGAGAGTTTATTTTCAGAAGATTTACCCCAAAGCTCTTTCTACAGACTTCTCAAAAAATTACTGTGACAATAGGCCCTGTACAGTGACCAGAGCAGTTCGAAAACCTGTTTTTTTCCACAGGTTAATGAAAATAACAATATTAAGCATTGCAAAGGAACATTGCTTTGAGATGCCTGAGAAAAGGGCTGCTTTCAGAGCACAAGATTTCTGTTTTCTTATAACATTACAATCTGTAATTTAAAACATAGGAGACAGAAAATATTTAATTATTGCAATGAATGACAGATTTTCAGTAAGCTGTGTTTAAGTTCAAGTGTAAAAGCATCTAAAAGTATATACCTTTTCTGAACTCAGGCAACAATTGAACAGGTAACTAACAATTTGACATGTAATTTTTAATTTGTGTATGTTAATTCCTTTTCTTCTGAAAAGTTAATCCATTTATGCTTCTGCTACTCTGAACTATTAATAACCATCAACTTCATGATGTGGATAAACTGCATTGATTATCAGTCAACACAAACAAAAAAAAAAAGGTTTGATTACTGTGGGATCTTTCAATTAGACCTAACATCATTAACTTCTCACAATTAAATTCAGGTGCTTCCTATTTCCAAGCCTTAGGCCATCTTTCTGGGAAAGGAGAAGAGGGTGCTGTATATCAATCTGAACCCTGGTGACTCGAGAGAGCAAAGAATGCTGTAACAGCTGGACCTGTTTGCACAAAGTTTCTTCAGTGTCAGTACATCCATCATGACTAAAGCCATTTACCAAAATGGAACTAGTGCTGGTCAAAGATGCTAAACCTTAAGCCCTCAAACCTGAACCCATCTACAGGGCAAGCCCAACAGATCCACAGTGTCTCACCTCAGCTTTGGTCTGAAGACAGCAGATCTAAAGATAAGAGGTCATGCTCTGTTGCCAGAATTAAAAGCAGTTTAAAATATGTTAACGAGGAACAGGTTTTCAGAAGAATTTAGTACCAGTGAGAGCAGAATGATGTGTCCTCAAAGGTCGCAAGATCTTAGCTGTCATGGAAGTACCTGTAGTTCAGCACTTTTCTATAATTCCCCCAAGGTGCCACCTCAAGGTTTGGGTGTCCAAATATCTTTAGTTATTCATCCCCATGTGCCTTTTCCCATAGTTTGACCTCTATGAGAGCATATTTATGTACAACTATAATTGACACTGAGCATTAATCAGACAGTGCTGTGTTTTAGGCCCTAACTGTACTGTTTGAACTGCTGACCTTGAGAGAAAAGGTTTTATATACCATTCCCAATCCTTTAAGTCTTCCTGTCACTGCAAAGCAAATACTTGACTTTTATGGATGGATTCAGTTTTGAGTCTGTTGTTTTTCTAACGTTTTGTTAAAATTACAAGAGTGACTTTAGGGAATGTTTGTAAACATAGGCACATTTTTCATTACAGATTATTACCCATACAGAGAGGCTTTTGTAAAATAGTGTATGATTAGAGACAGGTGATAAAATCCTGCCCGCAGGAACATTGTAGAAGTGTCCTGCAAACTTAGAGATAAATAATAGCAGAAGTGAGAGCAGATCATATCTTTTTCCTTTTGCCAAATATTTATCGTTGTTGGTAAAGACTTATTTAACCAAAGTGGTACGAGGTCACTGCTTCAGATCTACAGGCTCTGACCCCCTTTCACAGTGCACGCAGGTTTGCAGTTGCTGCAGCCACATAGGTCTCAACCTTCCTTGAAGCCACTCCTTGTTTTCCTCCTTTCTATGCTCATGTCCTTTCTTAGTTTTTCTCACCATTAATCTGACTGGAATTTTTATATTCTGGTTTTTTAAATATTTAATGGCACAAACATACTCTCAAATAAAATTCTTGTGAGTGTACCTTTAAAGGATGAGCATGTGACCTCAAAATAAGATACAAGGAGATACATGGAAACTAGCTGCATCAACACTATTAAGAAATATAGTATGGTACACTGAAAACTAACGTGGGCATTGTCACAGCACAATCACTATGTGTACATAATAAAAAGATTTATCTGTATTTTCAAATAATAACTATAGGTCTTTGAAATTACGTTATAAATTTAAACTTGCTAACATTCTGAAATGTACACATTGGTATTAACAACTACGCTTAATAAAAAAGAAAATGACATGGTAAATAAAGCAACTGAACATATGGTTATAATAGTCAGTTCTCAAATATGATGTTAATTTGGTTAATTGTTTTAATTTAAACTTGAACTGTTTTCTACAGATAGGTAAGTTTAGCATTTCTGGTACCAGTAATCAGGTTTGTGTTTCTTAATTGTAACTCAGAGCCATACTTACTACAAGATCAATTGAACAGTTACCATGTTAATTGTGATTGTATGAACTACCAAGGGAAGACTATCTTTGAGGGCTTGTGAAACCTTTTACAATAGTTACATACCGCTTCCAACCATATCACTTGAGTGCTAATATTAACAAAGGGTTTATGCAAGGAAGCAATGGCCAGCAAGGAGCTCAGGATATTGTGTTGGCATACAATACTTCAGATACACGAATGTGTGCTTAAGTGAAAGTGCTACGGAGGCATTACAGCTGGTAGAAACACCACGAAACTAACAGAAACCAGTTTTTTTAAAAAACAGACAAAAGAAGCTGGATGATGTAAAATAAAAAAAGACCAATAGAGGAGTAAACAATCACAAATTAGTTATTAGCAGGAATAAGCACCATAGCTGGGAAAACCAGACTCTAAGATGAATTCTGCAGTGCCCCAGCCAATACACCTCTTCCCATGAAAACCAATGGGACTTTTATTGCCAAGGAATCTGTCCATTAAAGTTTTATAATGATACTCTTCCTTATTCTTTGTAGACAGTGAAACCCTCTGGATGCTTTAAAAATCACAAAACACTGATTCAAACACAGCAATACTTGTTTTTGCAAGATAGCTTAGATATGCTCAGGGGGCTGAGCTGAAAACCAAAGAACTGCAAAATGTTTCCACTCCTTTTTTTACCTTTGAAAGTTTTGTTGCACTTTTTCCCAGTTTCTTTTTATTTTTTTTTTTTTTTTAACAAGGCTTCCACAAAGCTCTAGACATAATCTGTTTCCTAAGAGGGCTAAAGATACCTGATAGCAGCAGAAAACCAAAAATAAAACTAAACCCATAGAAGATGCTTATACATTTAGCCTTGAACGACATATATAAAATGTATAAAATTATATATTCATATAAAATAAAGTGAATATAAGGCACTTTCCAAATTCACAGCTCTGCCATTTTCAGACCTTAAAAAGAGCTCATGAGACTTGGTTGTTGCATAGACACATTATTCTTGAAACCATTTGAAGAAAAATATGACATTATTGAAACAAAGCTGAAAACCACGTTTTATCTCCGATCAATTAGTCATAGAATCACCTTCATTAAAATGTGGAGGAAAACATTAGAAAAAATTCTCTGCAGTATATGAGCATCCTACCTTTCTTTTGCGCAGTTTCACTTGACTGTCTGAATATTCTTGTGTGGTCAAATGATCCCTTACATGTAAACACTGAATGTCTTCTGCTGAACTGACATTTGAAAGGCATTTTTCAGGGGCCACTTGAGGTTCTGTGAAACCACTTTCATCCAGACCGTTTTCCACTGCCGGAATGAGAGAGCAAGGAAAAGATTGCATAAGGCAGTCGCTGGAATCCAGTGCTGAACAGAGTTGTCTATCACTGCTGGTACATGATTCGGAAGAAATCCCACTCTCTACCACATCACACTCAGACTTTCCAAGCCCGTCTTTAAAAGCATCAGATTTCCGGCGCTGTTGTGCAATTACAGCAGTATGAAGCAGCTGCTTCCCAGGCATAAAAATTTCTTTCACATTTGGAGAATTAGAACAATTTTCTTTCTCTACATCTACTACTTCATTTAAGCCTTCATAATTACAAAGCTCCAGGCTTTGGCCAATACTGCCACAAATAGCATCTTCTTCCATCTCCTCTTTAGGAACTGTTCCACGGCTGGGTTCCTTACTTGTATATCCAATGATTCCAGATGCTTCAGTTGCCTTGTTACTCTCCTCTATTGGTGCCATCTGTGTTAAGGAGCCTGCTCCATTTGAATTCTGCTCTTCACCTTTTGGTTCCCTTTCTACAGCAGTAATGGGGTAATTAACGCTATCTGGGTTGAGTGCTGAATAGTCATCATCGTCATCAGACACATGGACTAGAGTTTCTGTGCTGGCCTCCAGAAAATGCTCCTCATCTTCGTGGTTATCATTTTCATCCACTTCCTTTGAAACATTTCCCAGCTGCTTTGCTGGGAAGCCAATCAGCTCTCCACTGTAACAGCACTCTGGAAATGAAGAGCGTTTTTCTTTCCGGTCCACGCTCAAAACCTCATCTTTTTCCATACTTGTCTGCAAGTTATCGGCTACAAGTCCATGACGACATGCTGTATTATACTCCACAGACTCCAAAGCCAATCCCATCCACTGGGTCACATGCTCTTCCCAGCTTTTCTTTCTGATTGCTAGAGACATGTCATAACAGTTCAGCAGCAGGCTGCAATGTACCTTCCAGGGAGGACCAGAGGAGATGTCATGGCTGCTGTGCACTGCTCCCGAGGGAGGGAGAGTCTCATCATTTTAACATCTGCAAGAAATAAAAAAAGATCGGGATATTGAATCAACTCCAAATGAAAAAAAGAAAAGGAAGGAACAGTTTAAACAAAAGTGTAAAAAGCAAGATAAAACTGCGGGACCAGAGGGACAGGAATTTAGAAGATTGTTTTGTTTAAAGTTTTAATACTTTTCATACAAAACTTGACAGCACTCATAATTCAGTATAGCATTTTTTCTGATTACTCTCCACTATCAAGTAAACAAAAATGATATAAACAGGCACATGGACAGGCAAGTAGCTCCAGAGCCAAAATTTGACAATAAGTCTCTTCTCTACGTCTGTCACAAGATATTAATTTTCATGGGTATAAGTGACATTATGCCTTGTGATTGCCTTGTACACAAAGTTATTTTTTATTACTTCGTCATCCAGAAATACCCATGGAGTGCAGAATTCTGGCTGTTTTCCAAAGAGGTAGAGCAGAACTTGAGGTTTATTCCAAATTTACTACAGTTATAAACCACTTGTCTTACGAGTAGCTTTGGCCCACTCAGTAGCTCTCATTTTTATTGTTGTTGTTTCACTCTCCTCAGGACAAGTCATAATTAGAAGTGCTACATGAAATTACAGGAGAAATCAGCTGTTGTGTGGCAATAAAACATACAACACTAGGAAAACTAATTTAAGCTTTTGGCATATTCCTTACTTCAAATACATTATAAAACCTGAAAAAAAGCCTTGGTGAATATATTTGGGATCTACTAAGGTAAGGTATTGTGATTTAACCCCTAATTAACTAGGTGGGTATTTTTCACTGACTGCTGTATCGGGCCTTCCTGATGATGGCTTTTGGGATATATTAAACTTGTGACCTTGCATGTATGAATTAGAACAAACAAAATACCTGATATTAGTTTATACAATATAAAAAAAATACAAGGTCTTTGTCAAATAACAAAACAAAACTTCTGGCCCACAAAACATTAGAGGTTCAAGCAGCAGATGCTTCTACTTTTCACTCCCTACACAAGAACTGTCAGCACTTAGCATGGATCTGCTTATTGATTTCAGCAATAAAGAAGATTAAGTACTGAGTTTGTTCTGGGTCATTTCAGTCCACTAAGGCAAATTCTGATTGCCCACCAGGCCACAAAGCTGCCTTGACAAATCACATGCCTGAAGGTATAAAAGTATTCATCTTGAAAGAAATGCAGAATTATGCCTGTGCAACTGAATGTCTGTAAATTAAGTCTTGACAAACTGACTTTCAAGATAGAGTTGTATACTCTACTAGATCTTTAACTTTCTTTGAGGATGGCAAGCTTCATTTCACATTCACATTTTCCACCTCTGTGGAGACTGTGCTTAAAAAGAAAATATATTCATAGGGTAAGAGAATTCCATGCAGAAGTCATTACTGTGTAGGAGGCTGAGGAAAATGGAAAATAACACACAGAGCCAGGCCAAAAAAATTATCTGCTTTCAGAGTTAAAATTTGGTAGTAAGAAGTTAATACAACTTTAAGATTCTCTTTTCTTTCCTGATTGAATATAAGCACAAGCCTAAATATTAAAATAAAAAGTTAAATTATTGTATAAATTTGTAGCGCATTTGCATTCTTATTCTGATTTAATTTCATATTTTTATTCTCCTACTATCTCTAAGTGTTTGTGGTCCAAAATCATCACAGCATAAAATCAGTAATGATACTACTTTTAACTACTGCTCAGCTTTCCCTGATAGATCATAAAGCTTTTTAGAAATTATTAAATTAGTATTACAGCACTGTCGTGTTTTGTGTTGACCTCTGAAAAGGGACAGGTTTACTAAAAAAGAGGGTCTGTGATTTCTGTTGCACTTCATTAGTAGTGCATGGATTTGCACCTGGGTGCAACTCATTTGTACTTTCTCTCGCTCTTTCC